CGAAAGAAGGCAAAATGCGAGGCAAATTCAGCAGAAATATTGCACATTCCGTATTGCATTTCCACCCGTGACTGCACACGAAATTGCACAATGGAGCACCCTCGACTGCGACTCTGTGACGACTGTGGCGCGGCCGCGCGTCGCACAGCGGTGATCGAGTGTGCGCCGAGCAAACGGCCATGCAATAACAGCCGCAGCGCAGCGCTGCAGCGGGACGACAACGGCGCGGCATAAACAGGCTGCCGGTCCGAGATAGGCCCGCCTCGCTCCGCCGCCATCGCCGCCCTGTTTTTCTATGCATAGGCTGTGGTGCTTGCGCCTCGCGCTCCTTTTGTGTGATTACGGCCATCCGGAGCGGCCCGCAGCCCCCACAGGCCCGGGCCGAGCCCGTCACGCCGTAGTCACGCCGTAGTCACGACGCAGTCAGCGCATCCCGCTTGGTCCCGCTTCAGAGGCAACTGTTGCTGCACCCTCCCCGACCCTCCCCGTCGCTTGTCGCTGGAATCGGCCCTGGCTGGCGTCGGCTCGCTCTGTTCTCCTGCTGGTGCTCGTTGGTGCAGCCCGGCGGGCAGGCCGCACGGCCAGGCCGCTTGCGTTCGCCTAATCAAAGGGCAGCTGGGAGGCGAGGCGCTCTGACGAACGGGCGGCCTCAAGCGCCACGAGCGCCATCTGGATGGTGTCCGCCCGGAGCGGCCCGGAGCGAAGGTCGCCCTTGGATCAGCGGCCGCCCGGCCCGGCCCGGCCCACCCCACCCCGCCCCGCGGCTGCAGCCGCCCTCGCCCTCCGCGTGGCTGAATAATCCAGGGCCGGAAAGGAGAGGCCGACAATGGCGGCTCTGGTCGCCGCCGTGGAGGCCGCCATGGCGGGCCCCCCAGGCCCCAGGATCGACTGCCCCAAGGAGGGCCCTGTTAGGACCCCCGCCACCGGCCCACCCCTTCCCTTTCCCACCCTCTCTTCATCCCACGAAACAAGTCTGCGAGTCTGTGAAGGGTTGAGAGAAAGGCACGGCACCCCGCTACATACTAAATTACTGGGCACATAGTTTTTTGTGCAAAGCTCTGCACGAAATTGAGCACGCGTTTGACATTGCACAAATTCGTGCGCAGCTACAGCAATTGTGTGCCTGCATTTCACGCGAGAGATTAATTTCGTGAAAAGCTATATGTACGTACTAAAAATACTTGTAATTTCCTGAGTGGCGACGACGGGCCGAACGTTGTTCCACCTTTCTCGCCTGCCTGGCTCTATTTCTGGCCGGCATCGCGCGCATTATGAGCTCGGCCTTATTGTTAAAACAACATACCTGGCATTCCGCCCTGGGCCGCTCTGGGCCGCTCTGGGCGCCCCCGCCAGCCGCAGCCCCCTCCGGGAGCTCCCTCCGCGCCCCCTCCGCGAGCCACCCCCTCCGCGCCCTGCTTCCGGCCCCGGTATAGCTAGCGGCTGCGCTGCTGCTGCTGCTTGACAGCATTGCCGGGCAAAGTTTTGAACGTGGACCAATCCGTGATGTTCTGTATCGAGCGGCAGGGCGGGCAGAGGCACGCAGAGGGGGCGGGGCGGGCGAGGCCCTTCCGCGGCCACGCTGCCACGCAGCGCCACGCAGCGCCACGCACCATCCCTGCCCCGTCCCCGATATCCTTCCGCGGCGCACTCCGCCAAACAATCGCTGAATAAATTGACGAGAGCCCCACGCTGCCTCCCCTCCGCCTCGCTCCACCCGCGCCGCTTTAGCCGGCTCCAGTTTTACACGAGCGGCCGCATGGGGGAGGCAGCCGGCCAACTTGGAGCTCAATGATTCAGCACATGTTGTTGACGTCCAGCCCGACTGGCTCTTGGCTGTGTCTCTGGACTGCAAACCACATCACTCACGGGAGGGGGGCACGGCCGGTCTGCCTGCCTGCCCGGGGGCCTAACTGCAAGCCCGTTTGATTTCCGCTGCTCCATCTAGTTCCGACCCGGCAGTGTGGGCCCGCTGCACCGACCGACCCATTTATGCATTCGATTTCCGCCAATCGAGATGTGGCGACAAAAAATAATCAAAAAAGGGAGAATAGCTTCGGGTGTGGGGCTTTAGTTGGCGGAGACCGCTATGATTTCGCAACCCCCCTCTACCCCCCCCCTCTCTCTCTCTCTCTCTCTCTCTCTCTCTCTCTCTCTCTCACACACACACACACACACACACACACACACACACACACAACACACGAGAAATCGGTGAAAGGGACCCAGTGCTGGCGTTGATGGCCGCAAAAAGTAAAAACACAAATAATCTACGCCGCTTCATTTCTCGCGAACACGTACATGAATATTGATGGACAAGGGGACTAGGTTTTTTGTAACAGACCTGCCACGGCCTCGGGCAACTGCAGCCAATATCTTGACGAAAACCTCCCACAGTGTGGAAAGTTGGTCGCCAAGTTTGCCGAGGTGGTGACCAAGTTTGTGCCAACACACGGCTCGGCAAAGTGCCACGGCCCACTCTAAATAAACTCGCCTGTTTTGTAAACCTGACGAGGAAACAAGGCACACATTCTTGATTAAAACATGCTGATCCCTCTCCCCCTGCTGGCTGCGCTGGCTGCGCTGATTGCGAGGTGTCTGCCATCCATCATTCACGCCGACCCCCTTCACTCCTTCGTTCTTGCGAGCGCCCCTCCGGGCCGGCCGTTTAATCCGCATGTTTTGCCGCGTCGCAGCAGCAGCAGCAGCAGCCCAGACGGGCAGCTCGGTGAGAAATGGGCGCCGCCGGCGAGCACCACCACGTCGACATGGCGTCACGTTCAATCGCCGACCAGGCTGTCGGGGCTAGCTTGGTCGCCCTCGACGGGGCAGGAGGCCCCCGGCTGCGCCGCCGGCCTGCCTTTCGCTGCACCGCGCCACGCGCCAGCCCCGCCAGCCCCGCCAGCCCCGCCAGCCCCGCCAGCCCGCCAGCCCCCCAGCCCGCCAGCCCGCCAGCCCCGCCAGCCCCGCCAGCCCGCCAGCCCCGCCAGCCCCGCCAGCCCCGCCAGCCCCGCCACCCCGCCAGCCCCGCCAGCCCCGCCAGCCCCGCCAGCCCCGCCAGGCCCCGCCAGCCCCGCCAGCCCCGCCAGCCCCGCCAGCCCCGCCAGCCCCGCCAGCCCCGCCAGCCCCGCCAGCCCGCACCCCGCCAGCCCCGCCAGCCCCGCCAGGCGCCCCGCCAGCCAGCCGACCGATGTCCCTGGGGCAGCCGCTGCCGCCAAACATCAAGCTCTGCACCGTAGTGCCATCCGGAGGCGTTTGTCGCCTAGCGCAGCGGGACTACCTGCCGGTAACCGTGGCAGCGCGGTGCGGGTGCGGCGCAGAGACGGCTCGGGACGCATCCAGCGGACGGTATCTCGTAAACGTTGAATGCTACAAGAGTAAGAGGGGAACCAAGCAGAACGAAATCTTTGGGAAGCCGAATGGAAACATCAAGTTGAGTTTGTGCATGACGTTTTGTCGCCGTTTAAAAGCGACACCTCGTGTTAAGTTGGCATGCTCTGATGCGTTTGTTGACAGAGGACGGCTCCAGCGCGACTTGTCCTAGTTGGCCGCAACGAGAGAGAACGGCAATTCGCAACACTTCTGGCGGCGCGGCTCGAGGCGCGGCTGGTTCGCCACGGCAAAGGCAAAAAGCACCAACTCGACGCGTGGCCGCGAGGCCGCGTGGACGCTAGGGCATGAAGCAACGGGTGCGAGCAATTAGCTTTGTTTGCTTCTGTAAACGAGCAAACGCCCTCCGAGAGCGCCGCTGCGCGCTCGTCGGCTGGAGCCAGGCCTGGGAATACGGTGTTTACCCGGCCGGAGGGAAGACAGATATGTACGGAAATGGGCATGGGCATGTGCAGATAGACGCGGCCGGTGCGAGGTTAGAGGGGTGGGGCGCGAAGGAGGGGGGCCAGACGAGCGCCTCGTGCCGCCGTGGCACGCAGCCGCGCGCAGAGGCCCGAGGAAAGGGGAGTCCTTCGGAGAGTCCTTTGTGCCGTGTCGTGTCGCAAAGTTGGTCAAAACAAGCACAGTGTGTAGTAATCATGATTTGGGCTGTCTTTAAGCAGCCACTGCAGAAAATCCTGCTCTCTCAGCTGCTGGGTACTCTCTGGACCTTCCTTTAGCATACGCAGTGGCCACCAAAAGTCAGATCAAACCACGATTGCTTCACATTTGTTAACGTTTTCACCACAATTACAGTAAAACTGCTCGCGAGCCATGGGCGTAAATCGCACTCCGTCGAGACGGCACGGTGTAGGAAGCGGAGCCAGTGACGTCAAAGTGCACCACCACCGCCACTGCTTGTAGCGGCCTCCGTCCGCCCCTCTTCTCCAGGCGATGACGGCGGTGTTGTGTGTCGCCCCCCCCCCTTTCCCCCGGCTAAAACTTCGCAGTAATTGGCGCCCAGCAGCGCATTATTGATCAATTGCGGCGTCGGAGATTAAAGGCGCCGCGCCGCCGCACTGCGATAATCTCGGATAACGGCAGAACGTCCGCGCGACCTCGGCAAAACCAGTAGCACGGAAGGGGGGAATGGGACCGTGCGCTAACACACTTTTTTCATCGGTCGGGCCGTGTGAAAGATGCAGCGCTTTTCATCCCCGCGGCCTTCAAATAATAGGCCGCCGAGGCCGCCGAGGCCGCCGTCGAGGCCGCCGTCGAGGCCGCCGTCGAGGCCGCCGTCGAGGCCGCCGTCGAGGCCGCCGTCGAGGCCGCGTCGAGGCGCCGTCGAGGCGCCGTCAGGCCGCCGTCGAGGCCGCCGTCGAGGCCGCCGTCGAGGCCGCCGTCGAGGCCGCCGTCGAGGCCGCCGTCGAGGCCGCCGTCGAGGCCGCCGTCGAGGCCGCCGTCGAGGCCGCCGTCGAGGCCGCCGTCGAGGCCGCCGTCGAGGCCGCCGTCGAGGCCGCCGTCGAGGCCGCCGTCGAGGCCGCCGTCGAGGCCGCCGTCGAGGCCGCCGTCGAGGCTCAGCAGCAGAGACGAGACAATGGGCCCAATCAGGGGACGAGTGGCACCATACTCACGGCGTGGGTTTGGGCGGCGCGGGCTCCGGGGGTTTCTCCTCCGGCGGTGGCTCCTCGGGTGGCGGCGCGGCGCGGCCCGCGGTCGGGGCCAGCTTGTTGACTGGAACAGAGATTAAACGTGACGTCAGCATTTCGGTGGCGCGCGGGGGACTCACGGGCTCCCATGAGTGCCGTGACGTGTGCTGCTACTCCTCCACGCTTCTTAAACCAACCATGCTAGGGGTTTTGGCTGCTTCGGCAGCATTGGCTGCCTGAAAGGGATGTTTTCGTAAAAAAGTCTTTTGCAGTCACGAAAAAGTAGTTTATTGGAGGGCTAACAATGCAGCCAAGTCCTTTAGCAACCGTCAGCTACCCTACAACGTCTACCCCATGAAAATTGACACAGTGCGAGAACAGGAACAGAACAGACCAAGACAGAACAGAACAGAACAGAACAGAACAGAACAGAGGATGCTGGTCGGCCTCCTGGCCACTGTCAGGGCGCTGAGCGGAAAACGGGCGCTGCCCTCGGCGCTTGCCACCCCACCGGGCCGCCTGAGGGGCCGCCGCGCCGCTCGCCCACGCGCGGTCCGGCTCGGCTTTCATGACGTGTGTGGCCGCGGGTGTGGTGCTGGTGGCGAGCCACCCCACTTTCCGCGTTTTCGTTCCACGGGGGGAACAACAAAGAACGAATCCAACGCGCGACGCGCCGCGACGCGCCCTGGGCGACCCGGCGGGCTCCTTTCTTTCCATAGGTAATATCCCGGGCGGGGGATTAGATTAAGATTCCCAGACAGGAGAGTGGAATCGGAGCGCCCCGCCGGGTCCGGCATCGAGTGCCTCTGTCTAGACAGCGCACTGAAGCGAGGCCATCAGCGACTCGAGGAGAAAGAAGCATAATTGGATCACCAGCAGCCGCACAATATTTCGCCAAAGTTGAGCTCTTGGGCTGGTTCCAGGCAGGCGTCTCGATTCCGGTGCGCGCTGCTCGTTGGGCGCAGAAAGCCCCACAGGGCTTGTTCGCCTTGGAAGCCACGTCACATCGTGCGTCGCCCGTCGGCCGTCCGCCCCGGAGACTTCCTCGTCTGCCTTCTTCTCCTGTACTTTCTACCGGCAACGGAAGCAGCCGCGATCCCGTTCCTCCCAATTATCTCAGCGCTCCACGTTGTGAAGGGGAGGGGATGGGACGTCCTTTGCGGTTTTAGCAAAGCGGAGAAATCGTTTTCGACTTAATGATGGCGTGGAGCCCAGCAAACACTCCCGAACGCCGCGTCGCCGCGCCCCAACAGGTGGCGCGCTGCGTACGCGACGCTGAGCTCGCGCTCTGCTTGCGCTGGGCTCGCCTTGGCGGCGCGTGAGCGAGGCCGCGAGAGGATAGCTACGGGACGAATCTAATTTGCCAAGGTGGGGCTGGTGGGGCTGGTGGTGCAGGTAGGGCTGGTAGGGCTGTTGGGGCTGTTGGGGCTGTTGGGACAGGTGGGGTGGATGGTGCGGGTGGTGCGGTACGGTGCGGGTGGTGCGGGGGTGGTGCGGGTGGGCCGGTGGGGGGGGGTGGGGCCGGTGGGGCCGGTGGGGCTGGTGGAGCTGGTTGGGCAGGTGGGGTTGGTGGGGCAGCTGGGGCTGTTGGGGTAGTTGGGCAGGTGGGGACGGTGGGGCTGTTCGCGGCGCCTCGCCTGGGCTTGAGGAGTGTTTGTTTTCCCCTGCCACGCTCGCATTCCCCGTATATTGCCCCTGGATTGCTCAGTGGCGTGCGCAGGGGGGGGGGTCAGGGGGGTCATGACCCCCCCCCTTTGGCCACTAGACAGCCGCCTGGAAGGTAGGCAAATTGCGGTACTTTCCCCCTGTAAGTAGGCAAAAAGCATGGCCCGACCCCCCCCCCTTTCAAAATTTCTGCGCACGCCACTGGGATTGCTCCACGCGAGTCGCAAACGGACCATAGCCGTCGTATGAGGGAGATCGGCTAACTGTTCACTCACAAAGCACGCGCGCCCCGCGGCAAGCGACCAATATTCCTGTTCCGTTGCCACGGTAACTCGCATGGCAGGAAGCGCTTCGGGAACTGTGATCGTTGTTGACGTCAAACTCGGTCAAACTTGGTCTGCCTACATCCGACGCGCTTTCGAAGAAACGGGGTAAGCCGCTTGCTTCTGATTTCCCAACAACGTAGGTTTAAAACGGCGACCGCGTCGCCTCTTTCACAGTCCTTCACAGCAATCCGCGGGTGCAACAGCGACGAGCGAACAAACCAGGCCACACACTAAATGTTTATGTAGAATTTTGTACGTCATGATGCACGATTTTAAACCTGCGTGACGTTTTGCATAAAATTGTGCAGAAAATTGCAGTTATTTCTGCATTTTTGCCCATAATATTATGCAAATTCCCCGCATGTACAAAATCGTGCAAGTGGCACGCACAAAATTCTACATAGTGTGCACAACAGCTGAATCGCTCTGATCTAGTCAGAGAAGTCAGAGATCTAAGTCAGATTGAAGTTTGCTTGCTTTAAACAGCAGGCCGACAGGGCTACTGAGAGCCTGATGATAATGGTGATGCCTTTCCGGTTTTTGTCGGTTTTTGTAGACGGGCCTCTGGGGGTGAATATCCAGTCGTGGGTCCACTCACCTCTGTCCTGCGCCGTCATGAGCCCCGTCGAGAGGGTCTGCCGCAGCTTGCTGAGGGTGCCGGTGTCGTCGCCGCCACCCGGCCCCGCCTCCCCCGTCGCCACCATCTGCAACACAAGCACCGTCAGGCCAGTCAGGGACGCCGTCAGGGACGCCGTCAGGGACGCCGTCAGGGACGCCGAGGGTGTCGAGGCTGCGGTGAGGGGGCCAAGACCACCGCATTCTCGGAATCACTAATCACTGGCTGCCGCCTCCCGACGACCCAATGCCATGGAAATGATGGCGGTGGGGCGCCACGCCCGCCGGGAATGCCCCCGACCGCCACGCCCCGTCACCCCGCCCCGCCCCGCCCCGCCCACCTCGCCTCGCCCCGCCTCGCCCCGCCTCCAGCGCGGACGATGCCGATAAGGGCGAATATAAGAAGGGAAGGCTGGGCGGCACCGCGCCATGCCAGCCTAGAATCGAATTTGGAGGGCGCCTCCGCCCCGATCTGCAGGGAGCGAACAGAGGCCGTCGGGAAGGTGATGAATGAGGCCTCGGAGGTGGAGCGGCAGGGCGCGGCAGGCGGGCCAGGATGCCCGGCACTCACCTCTGTACCTCAGCGAGAAACACCTATAATTCGAGGGGTCCTATTCAAAAGATCTTATCTGGGCGTTCCCCCCAAGACAATCTTATCTTAAACGCCTGCAAATTTCACTCATTTTGATCAGTCAGAATAAATACGACGGTAAGCGAAACATATTTCTTCATGCACTTTTGGTTTCTTTGATCTGCCATCTTTACATTTACTTGAACATACCTACAAATTATATTGATATGTAGCTGTATCAAATGATCAAAGTATGTGAAATTCACCTGCGTTTAAGATAAGATTGTCTTGGGGGGAACGCCCAGATAAGATCCTTTGAATAGGACCCCTCGAATTCCGAGTAGACGAGAAAGCACCCCCACGCAGTTAAACTCAGAAACAGAATTATCATAATGAAGTCCACACCACGCGATATCCGTCTACATCATAGAGGTACATTGCGTGATCAATATGCCTCCGGATACTCGAAGCACAACATGGTACAAACAACGGAGTCGTATAACAGCGGCGTCGGAAGTGGGGTGCAGGGGGGTCAGGCTGCCCCCCCTAAAATCCAGGCCCGCGAAGCGGGCCTTTCGGGCCCGTGAAGCGGGCCCATCCCGGACTTGTGGCCCGCGAAGCGGGCCTGTCGCCAGCCGAGGCAGTGGGTGACTTGCCGACTCGTGGCCCGCGAAGCGGGCTCCTCGCCGGTCTACAGCTCGCGGAGCGTCACCCTCGCCAGCCTGCAGCTGCAGTTTGACACACTCGCGAGCGGGCCCGCATGGACAAGCGAGTTCTCGCATTTGAAGCAAAACATATTCAACTGTGCTGTGCCTGTCCTGCGAGTGCGAGTAATCGCCAGTGTGACACGCCAACGGCAAGACTCGGAGCGGGCAACGGGCTCACATCTAATCCACGAAAGGGGTTCCTGCAACACGGAGCGGGCTCTCCGCTGCGAAGCGGGCTCCCCTATTGCGAAGCGGGCTCCCCGCAACTCGGAACGGGCTCCCTGTAACGTGATGCGGGCTCCCCGCAACTCTGAGCGGGCTCCCTGCAAAACGAGGCGGGCTCCTTGGACAACGAGGCGGGCTTCCTAAAGAGCGAAGCGGGCTCATTGGAAAATGAGGCGGGCTCCCTAAAAAGAGAAGCGGGCTCCCCGCAACGCGAAGCGGGCTCCCTGCAACTCGAAGCGGGCTCCCAGCAAAGCGAAGTGGGCTCCCTGCGAAAGCGAAGTGAGTAGGGTAAAGTTACGAAACATGGATAAATTTTAAGGAATGTCTTATATTTTCGCTCAAACAAGCGATGACCTAAATTTTCTTCGACGCACTTCAAGATTACCACATAGACAACCTTCTCCCAAGAACTGTACATTTAATAAGAAATACTTTAAAATTTACAGGCCTTTGAAATTTTACTGATTTTAGTGATCCATGTTTGGGTCAGACCCAAACATGGATCGCCTTACCCCACCCCCCAATCGCGTTTTAACAGGGGCGTTCCGATAATTTTCGGTCGCCTGAATTTTTGGCTGAGCGATAGCGAAGCCTGTTACTCCATTGGGGTTGAAAAGTTTTTCCTGTCTGTCTGTCTGTGTGTGTGTGTGTGTGTGTGTGTCTGTCCGCACTACTCCTCCTGAACGGCTCGGCCGATCTCGGTGAGATTTTGCACACTTTTTGGGCATGGCCTTGGCTCGGCACACGCGAAATTTCACTATCCTAGCTCAACTGGTTCAGTTTTTATAGCCGAAAAACACCTAATAAACGGCGAGAAATGGAGTTTTCTGCAGGCAGATCACTTCTGTCTTGAAGAAGGGGGGTCTGGGGGGCGGAGCCCCCCAGCCCCGACAAGTTGAAAAGTTACAAGGGATCTAGAATGAAGGGGGGTCTGGGGGGCGGAGCCCCCCAGCATGCACCAAGTTAGAAGTAACCAACGATGGACAAGCCATTGCCTGCCGAAGGCAGGCTAGCGCCGCAGGCCAAGGTAGGTACGCCAGGCGCGGATTTGAGGAACAGGCAGCGAGACATCGCGAAGCCTGTTACGACAAGACGCGGTCTGGCGTAAACCTACCTTGTAAAAGGGTACGCTCTGAAGGTGCAACGAAAAATTTTTGAGAAATTTCTGCTGAATAGATTCTTTTTAAGAACGGTTTGAATTTTGACTCGTAACCTAACCTAAAACCAGGCCGTTTTCGGACCCCTTTTCAGAGGCGCTTTTCCCTTTGTGTACCTTGTAAGATTGATCAGTTCCCCCGCTCGTGATTGATTCTGAAACTTAAAGGTGAAGGCTTTATGAAAAACTTCGAAAAAATTAAATTGGTCGCTTGGTTTGGCAGTACGGGCTCGCTAACAAAAATGATCCATGATTGGTACCCCAATCCATGTTCGGCACTTTACCCTACTGAAGAACACACGTAGTGCACACAATGTGTGTGGGCTCAGCGCACACATAAGTTTTCAGTGCATCTGGTTATCTCTACCTGCCAGATCTTGCACTGCATTCTCATTGAAACACTCCTAAACGCTAAGTCTGGTAGTCAGGCACACGAAACACCACCCCACACGCTCAAACCGCGGTCGCGGAAAAGTGTGCGCGTGAGTGTGTGTGTGTGGGGGGGGGGGCGTTCAAAGGTTTCACGGGCTTCTCGGAAGAAAATGCGGGCCTCTTCAAAAGTCTGCCCCCTCCAATAAAATCCACTTCCGACGCCGCTGTCGTATAAGCCTCACTCTCTTTCAGATTGTTTTTTTTTTTAATTGAAAAATTGAACCTTACGACCCCTTCCCGCGCATTGTTGCCATTATAAAAGGCCTTCGTTTTTGCATTTCGACTCCATGGCGCAATGAATGGAAATGATACGTTCTCGTCCATTCGGATCGAGAGTATTTTCGGGGGAGGAGGAAGTGACTTTTTCAGTTTGAGTGAGGTGCCGGGCGGGTGGCCAGGCGGGCGGGCCCCCCAGCCCTGGCCCGTAATGGTAATGGAAATGGAGGTATAGGCCACGCGCCGTCACCAGGGCGTTGCGGGACCCGGGCGCTCCACCAGACGCCAGCAAGCTGTGATGCCGTTTGCACGGGCCGCAATTTAGTGCACGGAGCAATCGCCACCCACACTGTGTGCGAAGACCCAATGAAACAATGTCAGACTCTTCCCTCGGGGTTTCATTCCAGCGGCGCTCGGCGCCCACTCCGTTTGAACCAGGGCCCAGCGCCACACAGCACAGCGCGGCGGCCGGGTAGCGTATTGACTAGGCGACGGGGCGGGGCAGCACGGCCAGGGCCGCCAGGGCGCGCTGGCAGCGTGTCTCTGTTCCACCCACAATCCCTCTTCCTCGAGACGGCTCCCATTTCTTCGCGTTCGCGGCATCGCATTGTGTGCCATTGTCACCGAGAGCGGCGCGCGGCACTCCAGGGACCGCGGCACAGCGCGCCACGCCGCCGCGCCTTCGTCACCACCGCCGCCATCCCAGGGCGCACCCACAATCACTGCCCCCCCCCCCCTCTCCCCTGCCCCCCTCAGGCAGCACTATCTGCCTCCCCCAGCCACGTGGCCGCAGAGGACCGCGGCGGGGAGATAATTTGCGGCACATCTCGGCACCGCCGCGTCGCACCAAATAGAATCCGCAGAGAGGGCGGAGCGGGAGCGGGGCGGAGCGGGGAGCGGGGCGGAGGGGGAGCGGGGCGGAGCGGGGCGGAGCGGGGAGCGGGGCGGGGCGGGGAGCGGGGCGGAGCGGGGAGCGGGGCGGGGCGGGGAGCGGGGCGGGGCGGGCGGAGCGGGGAGCGGGGCGGGGCGGGGAGCGGGGCGGAGCGGGGAGCGGGGCGGGGCGGGGAGCGGGGCGGAGCGGGGAGCGGGGCGGGGGGGGTAGCGGGGCGGAGCGGGGCGGAGCGGGGCGGAGCGGGGCGGAGCGGGGAGCGGGGCGGGGCGGGGAGCGGGGAGCGGGGCGGGGCGGGGCGGAGCGGGACGGAGCGCTGAGGCGCCATGAAATTCCTATGAGCGCCGCGGCGACGCCATATGCCTCCCCATCCCTTTCCCCAGCCCCTTCCGGATCCTCGAAGCGCCGCTGCAAGCGCCGATTACAGCCCCACGTGCACCGCGCGGCGCTGTTGCTGCCCCCGGCGGCGACGACGATGATGATGTGGCTACGCGCGGCCGGCAAGTGCGCCCTGGTGGAATCGCGCTGCGCTGCCTTCATGCTCTAGCGCGCTGGACAGCCAGCGGGCTGTGGACGCGGGCCGACGCATTGCACCTGGGGGTGCAGCGCGGTTCGACGCACGCGGTGCGACGCACACGGTACGACGCTCACAGCACGACGCTAACGAATGCTCACGGCACAACGCACGCGGCACGACGCACGCGGCACGACGCTCCCGGCACAATGCACGCGTCACGCGCGGGGGACCCGCGGCGACCCGCGGCCATAAACCGGGTCGTCCGTCGCAGACTCGCCTGGGAATCGATAGCAGGCTGGAACATTGAAACGCCAGTACTGCAGGCAAGAAAAAAGAATTTAAAAAATGAAAGAATGTCCGTTTTATAAAGAGAAATGTCACCATCGGCGCCAAGCAGTGAATGGTGGCCTTGCTCCGATCTGCGCGAGAAAATCGAGGACAGGCGGCAATTTCCTCATGTTTGCGTGTCAGGTCGCCACACCGCTCGCAGCGCACCCCTCGTCACTAGCCTGTGCTGGACCTCGGCTGGGCCCTCGGCTTGGCCCTCGGCTTGGCCAGGGGGCGGTAACACCCGAAAGCAGCAGTGAGGCGAAGCTCTCGCTCCGATCTTGCTCCGTGCAGGGGTCACGGACTTCTTCGAGATTATTCAAGCTAGGCCATTGTTTGCAATTCGCTTTGCGCACATCGAAAGAGCAGCACATAATTGGTGCATTAGGCTCATTGGCAATCCCTTAACTGCTGCTTCAGCCCTCACAAAATCAAAGTGAAAACACCGAAAAATACAATAAGTCTAATAATTTGGGTAAAAACCTCGGGGGGGCCATCTTTGTGTAAACATTTCCGCGATTTTCTCTTTTGTACTAGGTAAAATTTGGACTTTTGGGAAGGTGAATGCGTCTAATGCACCCTAAATTTGATGCTCTATCGATCTGTGCAAAGCGTTTTGAAAACAATGGCCTAGTTTAAATAATCTCGAAGAAGTCCGTAACTCCTGCACGAAGCGAGAGCTTCGCCTTACTCCTGTTTTGTAGTGTTACCGCCGCCTGGCTTGGCCCTCGGCTTGGCCCTCGGCTTGGCCCTCGGCTTGGCCCTCGGCTGGGCCCTCAGCTTGGCCCTCGGCTTGGCCCTTGGCTTGGCCCTCGGCTTGGCCCTCGGCTTGGACCTCGGCTGGGCCCTCAGCTTGGCCCTCGGCTTGGCCCTCAGCTTGGCCCTCAGCTTGGCCCTCGGCTTGGCCCTCGGCTTGGCCCTTGGCTTGGCCCTTGGCTTGGCCCTTGGCTTGGCCCTTGGCTTGGCCCTTGGCTTGGCCCTCGGCTTGGCCCTCGGCTTGGCCCTTGGCTTGGCCCTCGGCTTGGCCCTCGGCTTGGCCCTTGGCTTGGCCCTTTGCTTGGCCCTCGGCTTGGCCCTCGGCTTGGCCCTCGGCTTGGCCCTCGGCTTGGCCCTCGGCTTGGCCCTCGGCTTGGCCCTCGGCTTGGCCCTCGGCTTGGCCCTCGGCTTGGCCCTCGGCTTGGCCCTCGGCTTGGCCCTCGGCTTGGCCCTCGGCTTGGCCCTCGGCTTGGCCCTCGGCTTGGCCCTCGGCTTGGCCCTCGGCTTGGCCCTCGGCTTGGCCCTCGGCTTGGCCCTCGGCTTGGCCCTCGGCTTGGCCCTCGGCTTGGCCCTCGGCTTGGCCCTCGGCTTGGCCCTCGGCTTTGGGCCCTCGGCTTGGCCCTCGGCTTGGCCCTCGGCTTGGCCCTCGGCTTGGCCCTCGGCTTGGCCCTCGGCTTGGCCCTCGGCTTGGCCCTTGGCTTGGCCCTCGGCTTGGCCCTCGGCTTGGCCCTCGGCTTGGCCCTCGGCTTGGCCCTCGGCTTGGCCCTCGGCTTGGCCCTCGGCTTGGCCCTCGGCTTGGCCCTCGGCTTGGCCCTTGGCTTGGCCCTCGGCTTGGCCCTCGGCTTGGCCCTCGGCTTGGCCCTCGGCTTGGCCCTCGGCTTGGCCCTTGGCTTGGCCCTCGGCTTGGCCCTTGGCTTGGCCCTTGGCTTGGCCCTCGGCTTGGCCCTCGGCTTGGCCCTCGGCTTGGCCCTCGGCTTGGCCCTTGGCTTGGCCCTCGGCTTGGCCCTCGGCTTGGCCCTCGGCTTGGCCCTCGGCTTGGCCCTCGGCTTGGCCCTCGGCTTGGCCCTCGGCTTGGCCCTCGGCTTGGCCCTCGGCTTGGCCCTCGGCTTGGCCCTCGGCTTGGCCCTTGGCTTGGCCCTCGGCTTGGCCCTCGGCTTGGCCCTTGGCTTGGCCCTCGGCTTGGCCCTCGGCTTGGCCCTTGGCTTGGCCCTCGGCTTGGCCCTCGGCTTGGCCCTTGGCTTGGCCCTCGGCTTGGCCCTTGGCTTGGCCCTTGGCTTGGCCCTTGGCTTGGCCCTCGGCTTGGCCCTTGGCTTGGCCCTTGGCTTGGCCCTTGGCTTGGCCCTCGGCTTGGCCCTTGGCTTGGCCCTTGGCTTGGCCCTCGGCTTGGCCCTCGGCTTGGCCCTCGGCTTGGCCCTTGGCTTGGCCCTCGGCTTGGCCCTTGGCTTGGCCCTTGGCTTGGCCCTTGTCCGGCAGTGGTTTGCTGTCACTGCGAGGCGCGCCGCCCTGCAGGACGACATGCCGCGCACTTGAAAGCCGAGTTCTGGTCGGTCGAACAGAGCGAACAGTGTGCCAAGAACCCCCTACGGGCCATCAGTGTCTCGCAAGCAGGTCGCTCTGGCGGCGCGTCACCGCGTCCCGCCTCGACGTGGCAAACCAACGCTCGGCCCACCGCCGCCACCGCGCACCGCACACCGAGGAAACTTTCCAACTTCCCAACGCCGCTTCCTGCTTCTTTTGCTTCGCGAGCGCGTCAGCGTCTCGGCGGGCTGTCGAAGAGTACCGCAGGCCTGCCGCAGGCTGACGGGGTCCCTGCGGGCTGGTGGCACCCCACGGGCTTTGGAAAGCGTGCCAGCGGGCTGACGGCGCGGAGTCTCCGGTATCCCTATTGACCTTGCGAATCGTCCTCAAGGTCGTCCGCTTCGCCCTTGCTGCTGTCCCCAACGCCCTTGCTGTCGTCCTCGTCACCCTTGCCGTCGTCCTCGTCGCCCTCGCCGTCGTTCCCGTCGCCCTTGCCGTCGTCCTCGTCGCCCTTGCCGTCGTCCCCGTCGCCCTCCCCGTCGCCCCCGTTGCCCTTGCCGTCGCGCACCACTTGACCCCACTGGCTGCCACGCGCCGCGCTTTTTCTGGTTCCCCGTCCGAGTTTCCTTGCGGCCGCAACAGCTTTTAGTGACGCCGTAGTTTTATTCGCCATGTTTCTTGCCGCAGCGTCTTGGCACGGCGGGGCGCGGTGGGGGCGGCGGGGCGGGGCGTGGCGGGGCGCGGCGCGAGGCAGGAGAGATTTGTCGGTCGAGGTGAGGCGCCTGCGCAATAACGCGCGGAAGAAGGATAAGGAGGACGAGAAAGAGAGGGGACAAATAAAAAGTTCCAGATTGGCCGCTTGCGCGGCTTGCGCAGAGGGAAAAGGGCGAGAGGAGCCCTCCGAGCGAATGTAATCTTAATTCGACCGTTTTAATTGTGTCATTGAACTAACTTTCCGAGAGAGGCCTGCGCGCCGGCGTCGACGCTGGCCTCGACGCGGGCCTCCCGCTGCAGCAGCGCCGCGGCCACGTGCCACGCTCAAAATGGGTGACGCCTCCCCGCTTTCTTCGACGCAAAACGGGGAAGCGGTGTCGCCAACGCCGTAAAGCCGCAGTCGTTGGATTCAATGTCCGGAGTGAAACGGCCGCGGGGATCAAAGAAAGGCCGTGGTGTCCAGCGGCGGCATAGCGGCAGTGGGCCATTACTCGGCCAAGTGCGTCATCGCAGCGGCGGGGCGCGGCGGCCGGCTACGCGGAATTGAGACGGGGCGCACGTGACCGGGGTGGCGAGCGAGGTGCGAAAACGGCCCTGTGTGGTGCGCGCTCGCCGCCGCGCCCCGCCTGGGCCCCCCGGCCTGCACCCCACCCACCAAACGACACTCAACGGGTCCGCGGCGTCCTAATGAGGGCGGGGGCGTCACTCACCTTCTTCATGAAGGACATGACGTTGGTGGGCAGCATGGTGCGCGGTGGGCGGTGCCTTCCTGTTGCTGGAGTCGAGGAGTCTTACATAGCGGCACGCCGCCCTGCCGCCATCGCCTGCATCACCTGCAAACAACAGCGGCACGTCAGTCTCCCTGCTGCCTTCACCGCAAAATGGTATCTCACGTTGTGACTCGGACCGGAACAAGTAAAAGAGCAAAAAGAATGATTCGGAAATGATTCAGATATGCGGAACCGATGGACTCTGGAACCTCTCAGAAAATCCGCCGCTTCTGACCTTTCCGACGGCTTTGCCTTGTTCTCCCTCCGGCCAAGCCATCATTGCAAATACCCAATATGCTCGTTGATGGGATGTAGGATTAGGTTGGATTGTTTGTAGCGGCTCACAGCCCACTCGAAAAAGGGCCGTGGCGCCGTTTGTGTGGGCTAGACGCTGCAGTCAACATGCTCCAGCCAACGGGCTCCAGCCAACAGGCCCCAGCCAGTCAACAAACCCCAGCTAGCAGGCCTCAGCCAATAGGCCCCAGCCAGCCAACATGCTCTAGCCAACAGGCTCCAGCCAACAGGACCCAGCCAACAAGCCCCAGCAAAATGGCCTCAGCCAACAGGCCCCTGTCAATAGGCCCCAGCCAGCCAACAGGTCCCAGCCAACAGGCTCCAGCCAACAGGACCCAGCCAGCCAACAACAGGCCCCAGCCAAGAGGCCCCAGCGAACCCCCAGCAAACATGTCCCAGCCTAGCCAACAGGCCCCAGCCAGCCAACAGGCCGCAGCCACCCCAGCCAACAGGCTCCAGCCAACAGGCCCCAGCCAACAGGCCCCAGATGGGCTGGAGCGCGCCTCGGGCGAATCCGGCGTGGGCACAGGGGCACAGAGCGGCACAGAGGGGCACAGAAGAGAGGCACACGGCGGCGCGGACAGAGAGGCCGCACGGCGACGGCGTCCCTTTGACATCCGTGCGGTGCTGTTAGGAGCGGTTCGGCGCGGCCCGCCCAGGCACGGCCAGGCAGTCCGTCTCGCCTCGACGGAGCGCCGCGTCAGATCACAGCGCCGCGTCAGGGCGAACTGAGCGGACACAGGGACGGACGTTGCCCCCGCCGCCCCCCGCCGCCCCCACTCACATAGGTGCGCCAAGCGGGGGGCGCCCAGACATCCCATCTAAGTTGTCCTGACTTGCCCATGGCAAATACCGCAATATAAGGACGTCTTGATCGCCTGGCCGCTGCGAGTTCGTCTGGCCGCCCCCTTCGGCGAGCCCCCGCAGCGAGGAGGGGCGGGCCGCGTTATATTCGCCGTCTGCTACTTCAAAGTAATAACGTGTCGTGTCACTGCCCCCTGCGGGCGTCGCGGCGCGGGCCGAGCCCAGCTAGCGTGTTCAGCCTAGGAGGGGAGAGGCGCGGCAAAACGACAAACCTCCCCTTTTTGGCCGAAGACAGCTACACTACAAGATCAAATGTGTGCTTAGTACACAGCTATGGGAGCGTACTTGAAAGCACACATCTATAGCTGTATGCTTGGACAAGCACACATCTATAGGTGTGTGCTTGGCAAGCACACAGCTACAGGTGTATGCTTGGCAAGTACACATCTATAGGTGTATGCTTGGCCAAGCACACTTTAATCCCACCCATTTAAAGGCATACTCCTACAGCTGTGTGCTTGGCCAAGCATACATCTATAGATGTGTGCTTGTCCAAGCATACATCTATAGATGTGTGCTTGTCCAAGCATACACCTATAGATGTGCACTTGGCAAGCATACACCTATAGATGTGTGCTTGCAAGTACGCTCCCACAGCTGTGTACTAAGCACACATTTGATCTTGTAGTGTACCTGATAATGGCAGACACGTTGCCCCCCGATAGAAGGCAAAAAGCCGCAAAAAGCGCTACTTTGATCCCTCTAGTCGGGCCATGCTCTCCAGCCATACTGTTTTGTCCAGCCCCGGCGCTCCTCCCCAGCGAGCGCGGCCCAGCGTGCCCCGGCCCGCAAAGCGCATAACGCCGCACATATCCCCCTTCCCTTCCTGACTCGCATCCTTCCGGCGCCCGGCTACGCCCGGCGGGGCCCCACGAGAGCCAAGAGCCCCGTACCCAAAGCCCACCCCACGGCCCCGGCCGAGGCCCCGGCCCTAGCCAGCCAGCCAGCCCCGTGACCCTGAAGCGGCAGCGGCACAATGCGATGCCGTCTCGGCCGTCTTCCCTCCGTTCGCGCGAGCATTTTAAATAAAGCATTATCCGCGCAGCCTGTCAAACAAGTGCCGCTGGCACGCGAACGTGACGCGACTGCCTGTTGTTGCTTTTTGTGAATCTGTCAGTCTATGTCCACGCCTGCAGCCCCCAAGCGACGCTCGGCCGGTCCGGCTGAAATTTGGACGCGGCGTCAGCCATGTCGATATCAGAACACGTCACTCAGGGGAACCAATGGCAGAGAGGCGTGTATATCGTTTGTCCGACGTGGCCAACAAACTTTTTTCACCTGCCCGTGCGAATTGGCCGAAAATTTTGTGCAACCTCCGTTCTGTCCGATCCATTTTCAGCGCTACGAGGTCAGGCTGCAGCTTGAGAGCGACTCGGCGGGGCTCCATTGATCCAAACACCCTCGGCTTACTCTCGGTCAGCCAAGACATGGAAAGATTTGACAAAAAAAGGTTAGGATAAATGAAAGCACCGGCCGAGGACTGTTTTCAAACGCATATCGTCAGGACATTATGGGGACTGTAAACAAGAACTCTCGAGGTAGGCTTCAACAATAATGGAATGGAAATGGTAAATTATCAGCTCCATCGACGATGGGAGGGTGGGGCTCGCGTCCATCACCACCACCAACGCGAGCACCCCGCACCGAGCCTCGCAGACAGCGGCGCCGTGTGCGAACGGGTCGTCCTGTCACGCCCGTCGCCGCCGCTAGGCCGCCGTGCCGCCACGCCGCGGGCCGCGCTTTGAGTCTGAGCCGCCGCCCCCGCCCCCCCGGCCACATCCCACGCCGCCGATACTGACGATAATGTCGTTTCCTTTTTCCCTTCCGTCCACCTGGCCGCCCACCGTGTTCGTTCCCTCGTGAGCTCCTGCGCGGTTGCCGCCCAGCGGGCGAGGCGTCGCGCTGGACACGTTTTGGGCATCAACTTCCTAAGTCGGGGCTCGATTCGATGGTGTACTGGACATGCTTCCGTTTCGAGTCCTGGGGCCAGAGTTGTGTCCGCAGCCGGTCTTTCTGTCTCGCCTCAGTGCGCCGTCGGCCACGTAGGCCCGTCCCCCGATCGCCTCAACGTACGTCGTCATCGTGGCTCTCATGTTGCAGGCGAACGACGAGACCGCCTGTCCGTATTTTCGATTGCGCAACCAACCCAGTAGCCAGCAGCCCCTCGAGACCTCGCTCGTCGAGGCTTGGGGCTTCCAGCCCGCCTCGGCAGGGCCGGGCAGGGCCCACTTGTTGCGGCACGGCACTCAGCACGGCCCGAAGCACGCCACTGCTCGGCACGCCACGCCACGACACTGCTCGGCACGCCACGCCACGACACTGCTCGGCACGCCACGCCACGACACTGCTCGGCACGCCACGCCACGACACTGCTCGGCACGCCACGCCACGACACTGCTCGGCACGCCACGCCACGCCACTGCTCGCCACGCCACTGCTCGGCACGCCACGCCACGACACTGCTCGGCACGCCACGCCACGACACTGCTCGGCACGCCACGCCACGACACTGCTCGGCACGCCACGCCACGACACTGCTCGGCACGCCACGCCACGACTGCTCGGCAGCAGAAGGCGCGGGCGGCACGGCGCGAACGCTCGTGCAGAGAGAGAGTCGCAGACGCCGCGCATGAAGCAGCAGTAGAATTGTCGCAGTCCCGCACGAGCATGCTGTTGGTCACGAGCGTACCTGTGTGTAGCAGCGCCGTTGGTCGTGAGCACGACTTTTAGGGTGTGTGCTGATGAGTTCACGCGTGGGTGTATGTTGATAGGTTGCGGATGTGTGTGCATGGACTCGTATGAGTTTGTGTGTGTGTGTGTGAGAGAGAGAGAGAGAGAGAGAGAGAGAGAGAGAGAGAGAGAGAGAGAGAGAGTGTGTGTGTGTGTGTGTGTGAGAGAGAGAGGAGAGAGAGAGTGTGTGTGTGTATGTACTCGACGCTATCTGCGCTGCGCCCCATCATTGGCGCCTGCAGTAATCGCCGTGATGTGATTCAGCTGGATACCACCCCCTCCTCTCCTCGCCCTCCTCCCCCTCCTCGCCCTCCGCTCGCGGTGAAGTTGATTGAAGTGCCCGGCGCGCTCGCCTTTGCCTCGCAGTGGCAAGCCGTGGCGAGCCGTGGCCCGACCGCTAAAAGCGGGGCCCTTTCTCGGGCGCCGGCCGCCTGCTCCCAGCAAACCGGGGGGGCCCCGCCGGGGGGGGTGCCCCCGGGGGCCCCCGCCACCAATCCCGGACGCACGGCCCGGCC